AACGTCATTCGTGCCAGGCAGGCGTGGGCCCAGGGGGTCGATGTTCTCCAGTCACCGAAGCCTGAACGGGAAAGCACGGAGAAGCCGAAGAACCGAATCCTGACAGACCAGGCCATGCTTCAGCTTCCTGAGAACATCTGTCCCAAGCACAGCCTCAAAGTACCCCTGCACATCGGAAACATTCCGGAACCCACCAGAAATCCCTAAAAGCCCTAAACGCGAACTCTCAACACCCCACCGGCTCGTCCGCGGAGCGTGGTGAGGTCTGGAAGGCTACCGCAGGTCCCCATCCTGTCAAGGCGGCGTGTCTATGCCTCAATGCTCTGCTGCGCTAAGAGGCCCAGAGACTTCTGGCCACGGAAGTTCCAACTGATGCAAGCTTGTCAGACCCGGAGTGCTTTCGACAAGAATCAATTGACTTGCTTCCTTCGCTCTCTTGTCGTTCCGACTCATAAATCTCGTTGGAGCCTCGCCGTGGGAACGACCACATTCCGATTCCGCATCGAATGTCGGATCGGTGAGTGGAATCCTTTTTGGTGAACCCTTGGCAACCGCAGTCTTGCGATGAACAGTTGCTGACAACTTCAAGCCGCGACCTGCTGCAAAAAAGCCCCAAGTAATTCGCCAAATGATTCAACGTGTCTCAGCGTCGCTGGCAAGACCCTGGCTCATTCTAGGATGGTCGCTGGCAGCACGACGGACGACGAGTTCTTTCAAGTTATAAGGGATACCTATTGTTGCAGCATGCGCAATGGGTTGCAAGACTCGCCCGTCGTATACATTACATTCAAATCACCACACGAAGCTGCGAGTTCCGAGAACATCTGCACGTGCGGTCCTTGGGTTGATGCTGGCCACGCCGGCAGCACGCATCCCGGGGAGGGCCTTGGGGCAACGGGGAAGGATGCGGCACACTTTGCCGAGATAGTCTCTTGACACATTCAACCGACTCTGCTGCCAAGGCCCAGTGCAAACCCCCAACAAATCCCGAAGCCCTAAAAGCC